CATTAATATTTTTATCATCACAGGAAATTATATTATTATCACTATCATTACTTGATGTGTTTGCACAAGCAATGTCATTAATATTTTTATCATCACAGGAAATCATATTATTATCACTATCATTATAATTTATAGAAGTTTTGGCGTTAGTGAGATCATTTAAGATATTAGAATTATTATCATCGTTAAAAGGAAGTATCATGACATCTTTGAGAAGAATACCCGTTTCAGACACATTGAAATTGTCATTATCACAGGAAAATGTCAGATTATTATTATGAGAGAATTATTACTGTTCATAAAATTAATATCAATATCAGTATTTACATGACAGTTATTATCATCATCACAAGAAAGTATCACATTATTATCAAACTCATAGTTATTCTTAGAATTATTAGCATTAATGTTATTATTATTGCACAAAAGTGATATATCAATATTGGGATCATTATCATTCGTAGAATTGTCCCCAAAACTGCCATTGTATGATAATGTAGCAGTTTTGAAGTCTTTTGATAAATCATAGTTAATGTCCTAAAAGAATAATACTAAGACAATTAAATGATCGAAATTAATGTTTGGCAATCTTACAACTTTCATTTTCACTAACTTTATAATCTCTAGCCAAATAGACTCAAGTTCCGCAATAAGCTCAAGTTACGCAATTGGCTATTATAGAGATATGTAACAAATATATAACAACTACATGAAGAAAAATTCCTTAAGAAATAAAATACTACAGAAATGTATATTTACTTATGATATGTATAATATACTGCATACATATAATACAATATGCTGCATTTAGGTTTGACATGGTAAAGCACTGTTTTTCCTGACATATTTACTGCAGTAGCAGTACAAATGGTTTCTCAATATTCTAGCATCAATAATATGAAACCGTTAATATTTCGTATATAATCGGTTGACACATGTGAGTGTGTATATATTTCTTATTTAATATATTCTCAAATAAATCAGTTGCAATATTAAAGACCGTTATTTTTTTCTGTAATAAAATATACATAAAACATACATAATACATAATATAATGTTACATAGGGTGACTCATTTTAATTTGTAAATTAAATAGCTCGGAAATGACTTTTGTTAAAAAATTAAACACATGGGTGAATACAGCTATATGTGTTCAATTTTTTAATTCAAAATGATTTGCAAGATATATTGATTTATAAATTAAAATAGGTTACTTTGTATAAAGTGTAATAATATTCTTTTTCACGTAGGATAACAAATATATATAAAGTTAAATTCTTTATGCTATATATATAAAAGATGCACATTTCTTATTTGAGCAAATTGTTCAATTTTTATTTTTGATTGTTATCGGTGGATGAGTGTCTCTGGGAGCAACCTTAATTATAAAGTTTCAAAATAAGATAAAAAGAGAGAGAGAGAGAGAGAGAGAGAGAGAGAGAGAAAATATAATTATGATATTTAAGATAAAATCGTAGTTAAGATAAAGATTTCTGATAGAAGAGATATTAGATGAAAACGATACATCTAATGCAATTTACTTCTCTGCGCTTGTGTTATTTATAAAATGTGTATTCACAAGATATATTACTAGTTGTCAAGTATAATATATGTAATCCCTTTATATATAAAAAAATTATATAAATTAATTAAAATCACTATATTTTACTTACAAACTATCTGTCATTGCTATATAGAATTAATCTTAATATCTTTTTTAATTAAAAAGACAGGAATAAGTAAACATTTGAGACATTTTGAGATACAAAAATATTGTGGAGCTCTTAAGGAAACGGGAGGGCCCTCTTTTTGTAATATTCCAAGAAATTAATCTTGAAAAATTACGAAAATTTCAATGCAACAGACTCAGTTTTATATATATTATTAGATCAATGGAAAATAATAATGTTACAGAAGTTGCAATTGTATAAAATATTGTTTTAAAAGTTAATCAGAAAAAGCATATAATTGTCTGTTTTAGGACAATTATTTAAATAATTAGTATCAAAATTAATTTTACTGATTTATTTTTTTTTTACAATTTGATGAATATAAATGTTATGTAAAAAGTAGAAGGATAAAACATTAAATATGTAGATAATAGGAATTGTAAAAATATATTTCTATGTATAGTCACAAAAAAGTATTCTTTTATATTTGTTTAAAGCAATTTGAAATATATTTAGTAAAATAATAATTGAACAATGAACATATGAGCATATACATGTATATTATATATATAAAAACACAAACCTAATACATATATGTATAATAGTATGTTGCACTTGTAATCATGAATACATATTATCAATAAAAGAATTAAAATAAATAACTTTACAAGTATTGCTTCTATACATATAATATAAATATATGAAGAAATCAAAATAAAAAACTTGTGTAGCTTTTGCTTTCTTTTTTATAAAATTCTCGCAATGTAACTTAACTTTTAGCTTAATGTGTTATATAATTAATTTCACAAATTGCACTTGTAATCATGAATACATATTATCAATAAAAATTGTAATAAATAACTACACAGTACTGCTACTCTACATATAATATAAATATGTGAAAAAATCAAAATAAATAGCTTGCGCAGTGCAGCTTTTCTAACTTTCTTTTTTATAAAATTCTCGCAATGTAACTTAACTTTTAGCTTAATGTGTCATATAATTAATTTCACATATTGCACTTGTAATTATGAATATATATTATCAATAAAAGAATTGTAATAACTACACAGTACTGCTACTGTACATACAATATAAATATATGAAGAAATCAAAATAAATGACTTTGCGCAGTGCAACTTCTCTAACTTTCTTTTTTATAAAATTCTCGCAATGTAACTTAACTTTTAGCTTAATGTGTCATATAATTAATTTCACATATTCCACTTGTAATCATGAATATATATTATCAATAAAAAAATTGTAATAACTACACAGTACTGCTACTCTACATATAATATAAATATATGAAAAAATCAAAATAAATAGCTTGCGCAGTGCAGCTTTTCTAACTTTCTTTTTTATAAAATTCTCGCAATGTAACTTAACTTTTAGCTTAATGTGTCATATAATTAATTTCACATATTGCACTTGTAATTATGAATATATATTATCAATAAAAGAATTGTAATAACTACACAGTACTGCTACTCTACATACAATATAAATATATGAAGAAATCAAAATAAATGACTTTGCGCAGTGCAACTTCTCTAACTTTCTTTTTTATAAAATTCTCGCAATGTAACTTAACTTTTAGCTTAATGTGTCATATAATTAATTTCACATATTGCACTTGTAATCATGAATATATATTATCAATAAAAGAATTGTAATATCTACACAGTACTGCTACTCTACATATAATATAAATATATAAAGAAATCAAAATAAATGACTTTGCGCAGTGCAACTTCTCTAACTTCTTTTTTTATAAAATTCTCACAACGTAACTTAACTTTTAGCTTAATGTGTCATATAATTAATTTCACATATTGCACTTGTAATCATGAATATATATTATCAATAAAAGAATTGTAATAACTACACAGTACTGCTACTCTACATATAATATAAATATATGAAGAAATCAAATAAATGACTTTGCGCAGTGCAACTTCTCTAACTTTCTTTTTTATAAAATTCTCGCAATGTAACTTAACTTTTAGCTTAATGCGTCATATAATTAATTTCACATATTGCACTTGTAATCATGAATATATATTATCAATAAAAGAATTGTAATAACTACACAGTACTGCTACTCTACATATAATATATATATATGAAGAAATCAAAATAAATGACTTTGCGCAGTGCAACTTCTCTAACTTCTTTTTTTATAAAATTCTCACAACGTAACTTAACTTTAAGTTTTATGTGTTGAAATAATAAAAATTAGGTATTCTACTTATTTTTTGCAATTTCTTAAATACAAGTAATCTACGTATTATTTTTGAATAAAAAATTAAAATATTTCCGATTTGACTAAATAAATATTTTCTGAAAAAATATTTATTCATTTAATGACGCTTAATTTTGCCAGATATATAGTTATGGATCCACGTTTTAATTTGAGCAACGGATCGATTAAATAAGCACTTATTTTTTTCTTTTACACAGGAAATTTTTTTGTTAGATGGCAGCTGTGAAGTGGTAATTTCTTTTTGAAATTCTTTCAATATTGTATTACGTTCTTCTTCCGTCCAACGTCTTCGTTTTGTTATACCAAATGGAGATGCTACAAAATAAATTAATTATCTATGAATAAATATTTCTATATAAAAAGCAATAATTTACTTAAATTTTATTTTAATGTATTTTTATTTATATTACTAATAGAATAAAATTACTTTAAAATTTTTCTCAGAGTACTGACAAACTTTCATTAATAAAAAAATATTAAAATTATAACGTCATTAGTATAAGAATAAAAAGAAATAGGAATACAAAAATAAAATAATATAAAATAATATAAAATAATATATAAAATACAAATAATATAAATAAATATATAATTAAATTAAGCTAATGTGTGTGGAACCTTTATCATTTATCATTATTATTTTTTAATTAAATATTGTTATTATGTACATTAAAATTCTATCAAAAAATGCATTTTAAATAAAAGCTTAATATACTAATATACTTTGACATAGTCACATGAAAATATAATACTAAATAATATTTAAAAGAAAATCCACTCTGACTTGATAAATTTATAAAAACTGAATACAATATGTAAAAATGAGAAAATAAACTTACTACTGCGACGTTTCTTTATCTTTGGGGAATAAGTTTCGTCAGAATCATTGTCATTATTTACTATTGTATGGTTTTGATGCACGATTTTCTTTTTTACAGATTTTTGTTGTCCATCTGTTACGCTAAGAAATTTCGGTAATTTCCTTTCTGTTCGTAATAAAGAAGGCTTACGTGAACTTATCATACATGTTTCGGCATCGTTTTCCGATTCTGCACTCGAAGTATCTTTGTTTGTTTCTTGCATCTCTTCCTCTTCTGTTAATAATAATACAATATTATGATAATTATTATATATGTATATATATGTGTAAACCAATTCTTGAAACTAAGGGCTAATATATGCTACAACCGCGGACGTCGATGCATAAAAATTGAGTAAAGGAGAATGAACACAATAATGAAACGTATTCTCAATTTGAATCCATTTCAATGAATATATCATATTCATACTTTGATTTAATAGGTTCCAAACGTAACGTTTCATTGTTGCATTCATTATTACTACTTTTATTTCTACACAGACATCCATGATCGTGGCACACATTAGCCTTAATTTCATAAGTTTTGGTTTATACGGACTTTTGTCTGATTTTTTCTTCTAATTAAATAGATATATTAAGAATGCAGAAAAGTTTAAAAAAGGAATACAATAATTAATATATTTTATACAAAAATTAATATATAAAAAGTTCTTGTGGCATATATATAATAAGATAAATAGTGTATATACCTGAATCACTATTATTAGATTGCTGTTGCTCATTTTCACCTAATGCTGCTTCAAGAAATTTCGTTATACGAACTATCTCTACAGCTGCTATTGACTGTCGATAATGGCGTTTATGAATTTTCTCGTGATGTCCCATAAAGTTCGCCAAATCATCCACTTCATTGTCAGATAAATTTAACGTAATGCATGTTGTAGCAATATGTTTACGTAATTCAGTACCTCTTAAAGAATGTGGTATTTGTGCATCACATTTTTTAGAAAAATATCGCATAAGGATACACGCTCTTAAATATTTGAAATGGCGTTTGGTACTACTAGGTATGCCAAACACATACGGATTTTTTTCAGGAACATTTGCATCCTTTCGCTGGTTCAAAATTAGTTCAACACATTGTACTAATTCCATGTCTAAAATCACAGGCACTGTACGTCCCAATTTTCCACGAATTAAGAATCTTACGTATTTATCAGCAACCTATATACAAAAGTTATATGTAGATTATTATTTTGCATCATATACCATATTGTGCGTAATTTAATTATAATACTTGTAAATAAATAATATTTATACATAATATTTATAAATAAATAATAGTAATAATAATTTTTACCTGCTGTAATTTTGTGCCTAATGATTTGTATAAATCTAAATGAGTTTCTTTCGTTATACCTTCGCGAGTAATAAAATCGTCAATAGTAACCCGTTCTATTTCTCCTGCTCTTCTTCTATTAAAAACTTGCATTGATGTAAGTGTAACTTTTGCAAGTTCTAGCCATGTTTCGTATTTAAATTTCTTCTGAAGTTTTGCATACAATGATTTTCTTTCGTTATTTAGATATGAGTGTAATTTTTTTATATCTTCCATAGATGGAAGCATAACTTTTTTCTGTCTTTTATTTTGTGTCATATTTTCTTCTACTGTTTTGTTTATAGATATACCATAATCTTCTTGTAATAATTTTAAAAAGTTTTTTGTAGCATTTTGCTTTTCTATATCATTAGCTTTTATGCATTCAGTTATTAACAAATTACCAATTTGTTTTAAATATGTCCCAATATTTGACGCAACTGATGGTGCACCATATTTTTTATTAATATCATCAAAATGAGCTACTTTATTTACTGCTTTCAGACAATCATCATATATGGAAGGATTATATATATCAGAAAACTCTGTTATGTTAGAGTTATATTCTTTCACTGCGATAAGAAACCTTCCTAATAATCGAAGTTTAGCACGTATCATATCTTGTTGGTGTTGATGATTGTACTTGATACATAATTTGTTCGCAAATGTTATTATTAATTTATCATATTTAATACTTTGTGTAACATCATCTTCCCTCAAAACTGGGAATAAAACTTTTCTTAACGTATAAGACGGGCAACAAGAGCCAAATCGCGGATGACAATGCGTTATCCTAACGAAACTAAATAATTTTTCGTTAGAATTAAATACCGGTGCACAAGGCACCAAATTTTTACTTGGACACGGCCAAGATTTTAAATATGAAATAATCTCATATTTTGAGATTTAATTTCAATACCCCTTTAACCCCCCTACGGAAAATAAATAAATGAATGCAAGAGAAAAATATAGATCCGAAAATCGCTGAATCGGGAAGCGAAAGGTCTCGGGTTCGAATTTTAAGAAAAACATGTATTATATGTATAATTGTACAGAATAGTATCATTATTATATATTTATTTAAAGTAATATAAAATGTTTTCATTGCAATAATATTGTACGTATTAAGTGCATACAACAGCACATAACATATTAATTTGATTTTTGACAGGTTAATATTAATATAAATCGTAAAAAATCTAAAGTTATTACACAGCGCTTTTTAATTTTCTTGTCAGTTAAATTCTTGCATCAATGCGTTAATTTCTGATTACTTATATCTAAATAATTAAAATTACTTAATTTTTATAGAAAGTAAAGACGATTTTTTGGCAATTATTAATAGTTTAAATAGAAATAATCCACGCATTGTTCTGAGAGATCTGATCACAAAGATTAATATATTAATATACTTTGACATAGTGACAAATATAATAGTAAAATATAATACTAAATATAATACTAAAATATAATACTAAATATAATACTAAAATATTATACTAAATATAATACTAAATAATATTAAAGAGAGAATTCACTCTGATTTGATAAATTTATAAAAACTGAAAATATATGAAAAAATCAAAATAAATAGCTTTGCGCAGTGCAGCTTTTCCAACTTTTTTTTTATAAAATTCTCGCAATGTAACTTAACTTTTAGCTTAATGTGTCATATAATTAATTTCACATATTGCACTTGTAATCATGAATATATATTATCAATAAAAGAATTGTAATAACTACACAGTATTGCTACTCTACATATAATATAAATATATGAAGAAATCAAAATAAATGACTTTGCGCAGTGCAATTTCTCTAACTTCTTTTTTTATAGAATTCTCACAACGTAACTTAACTTTAAGTTTTATGTGTTGAAATAATAAAAATTAGGTATTCTACTTATTTTTTGCAATTTCTTAAATACAAGTAATCTACGTATTATTTTTGAATAAAAAATTAAAATATTTCCGATTTGACTAAATAAATATTTTCTGAAAAAATATTTATTCATTTAGTGACGTTTAATTTTGCGCCTGTTCCCGAGTTCTCGCTTGTACCGCTAACGAGCGAGCTAAATGAGATTAATTAAATGAGGACGCATCGGAAAGTTTATTCGTGCAAACACTCCGGCTTCGCTTATCGGCATCCTGCCTGCATTCGTCCACGTATCGGTCGTAGAATCTCGAAGATTGTGCATCCGACGAGTGGTAGCCGGGAATTAGCAGATATCGTAATAATCGTGTCGCGCGGTCGTGCGGAGCGTCGAAAAGTACGAAACCTTTGTCCGAAACGTATTTCCGTATCGTAGCATTATCTCCTCGTAGCGGCGCTACTCGCCGTCAAGTGCCCTGGAGGTACCGCCGGCGGGCGACGGACTTGGTGAAATCATTCGGTCGTCCGGAGGTGTCGCCCGTCCCGGAGGTGCCGTCCGTCCCCAAGTTGACGCCGGCCGTTATGTGGTGCCGCACATATAATCACGCCCGTAACGAGCCGTCTCGGTTGCCGCGCGCCGCGTCGGGCGAGTGTTCCGTACCGTAATCGCGGTCACCGCAGCTTGCGTGTTGCGTATCATCCGTAATAATTCGAAATATATGTCTCCGACACGTGGGTGAGAGACACGTTTCGAGTTAGTAATCGGACAGCGCCGTCGAGCGAGCGCCGAATAGTAAGTAACTTTCGTCCGAAACGTTACGAGTCTCCCGGTAAATCGTCGTTAAGTGTTCCGGAGGTACCGCCGGCGGTCGTCTGACTTCGAGAGATCATTCCGTCCGGAGGTGCCGCCCGTCCCGGAGGTGTCGCCGGTCGGCCGTGGTTTCCGGAGGTGTCGCCCGGCCCGGAGGTGTCGCGCCGGTTCGTACCCGTGTCCGCAGGGTCGTCCGGTAAGGAGCCTGTATCGTAGGTGCCGTCGGAGGGCCGTCGGCAAATTGGATCCGTCTTGGAATACCGATTGGCTCTGAGGTCGGGCGTTTCGGGCTTCTTCGCAACGGGTTGTTTGACGTCGCCATACGGCCTGATAATATTTTATGTACAATAGGACTTTTCGCGTTCGCTCTCCGCGACAATGTCTCGATTGAACGCGCCTTCGGCGCTCGCGCGCGCATACGGCCGTGCGTAGGACCGTGCGTCGCCGACCGCCTGGCCGGCCGGTTGGGTACTGTAAGAGAACGTCGCGCTCGGCGCGTCGAACGAGTCGAGCGAGTCCGACGAGTCGTAAACGTACTTTCTCGAGTCTCTCGCCACTCCGGCGTGTTTCGACCGCTCTCCGTACCGTCGCCGACCGCTTGGCCGGTCGGTTGGGTACTATAAGAGGTAGGAGAGATTAATATTGTACGTGTCGCGCTCTCGACGTTGACAAACGAAGAATCGCCCGAACGGGTCGAGAACGGATTTTGTCGAGTCGCGACTCTGACTCTCTCGAACATTTATATAAAACGTTTGATTTGGTACTTATAAAATAATACGATCGTCGTGAACGCGCCGCCGAAGTCTTCTCATGCTTGGAGGTTCGTGTCTCGCGAGAACGTACGTTCGACTCTCGCGTCGTCTCGTATTCCTCTTCGCCGGGGATTACGGTGCGGCTCCACGGATCGCCGAAGCGGCAAAATTAACGCACACTTAATTACGAGTACAGCCCGAGCGGTTCGCACGACCGGAATGGCTCATGTGGCGCGCACGCCTCTAGTGTGTTGGCCGCGCGGTTCCCTCTCGTTTCGTACGCAGCAGCGGAATCGTCGCGCTTACCGAGCATCTACTCCACGGATACGAGTTTGCGGGAAGAGTTGCTTCTTCCCGCTCGCTTTGTACGCCCTAGCAAAATCTTTTGCTGGTCTGTCCAAACGCGTACGAACCAGACAGAACATCCTCGACGTCTAAGCATCGCCATCGTCGATCTACCGTCAGGGTGAATCGCGCGGTCTCTCGAGACCGCGCATCATAACATTTGGGAGAATAAGAACACGAGTATTTTGATTTATGGATTTTCGGGGAGAGGAGGAGAAGAAGAGAGGCGGCGACGGGGGTTTACTCTCCCTCCGTCGGTCTCTCGTACGCTTTACATAATAGTGAAAACACAGTGTCTCCGACCGGCTGAGCAAGACCGGCGGCGAAAACACATACGGCGTGTCGCGCGCGCTCGGTGTTTCGGCATCAAACGAGCGAAGCGCGAGCGGCGCCCGAGTCCCGGGGCGCCGTCGAGACGGGCGAGGGACCGAACACGAATTCTGGTTACCCAGCCCTTGACCATCTCAAAGATTAAGATGCAGTCATGCATGCCGATGTTTGGTGAACCGCGAAGTCATCAGTTCATTGGTCAAAGAGCTGAACGCACACTTTCTTGAACAACATCCAGATGTACATGCAAAACAGAGTGACGAGAAATGAAGGGACGCTCTTATCCGAAAAACCAATCATGGCGCTGTTCGTCCACCGTTTAAGTGCAGGGGTAAAAAGGTGCAATCCACGGTCCTAGCACCGGCGAGATCTTTCAAAGTTGCCTTATCAAGTCGATTGGGTTCTCGCACCATGAAAGGTTTGCTCACCGGAAAATAAGGAATACAAAGAGAGGAGCCGAGGCTGAAAAACCATCCGGAAGGAGTGGCGCGAAAGTTACCCGTGTGGACTGCGGATGAGATGGAGCGGCTCGAACAACTCAATCTAAGGTTCCAAGACAAGCGAAACATTAACATCAGGTTGATGGAAGTTTTTCCCGGGTAAAACCAATAAGCAAATAAGCGATGCAAGACGTCGACTGAAACCGGCCGTTGTACCGGCCCCACAACCTGATGTAGCTCCACGGCAGCCAGAATTGGCTGCTGTAGTCGAGGTTCCTAGAACGCAGAACGAATCTCCGGCGCGAAGTGCAGCGCCGGAGCAATTATCCTTTGAAGGCGAGGATTGGAGAGAGAGTGTGCTGGCGGAAATCGAAGCGGAAAGTGAACTGAAAGGCGTATGGGCAACCATGGTTGCAAGACTGGTCTCGTTAGCAAGTAAAAGAACGACCAGTGAGGATATTGACTTGCTATGCGACGAGATAACAGAATGCCTGAATAAAAACAAGGGAGTACATAAAGATTCCAGAAAACGTAGGAATCGAAAAACCAAAAGCCGTCCGCCAAACAGGATGGAGAAGAGGCGCTTCGCCTTTGCAAAATGCCAGGAGCTAATGAATAACTGTCCAAGGAAGCTGGCAGATGCCGTGGCCGCCAATGACCTATCGCTTATACAATTGCGTCAATCGCCCGAGATGGCGAAAATTAAAGAATTGTACACCAATCTATGGGGTTCGCCCGGCCCCCAGCAAGAACCAATCGGTGTTGCAGACGCCGAGGTTCCGCTGAGAGATATCTTCCTACCAATAAAGCCAAAGGAAGTGCAGGACAAAATCAGACGCATTGCCAACTCTTCAGCTGTTGGTTTAGATAAGATTGAAAAGGCTGACTTGAAAGGAAAAGGCATCAGTATTGTTTTGGCTAAGTTCTTCAATCTCCTGCTCCTAAAAGAGGCTTATCCAATAGCTTGGAAGCAGAATCGCACTACCCTTATACCTAAAGCGAGTAAAGATCTCTCGGATGTTAAAAACTGGAGGCCTATAACTATCTCCTCAATGTTAAGCAGAATATTTTCATCGCTGCTGGACCGTCGCATACGCGAGGTCATTCAACAGACGCTAAGACAGAAAGGCTTTACTAAAGAGAATGGCTGTTTTACGAACAC